CGCTGCGGAGCCCCTGGGCGTGCGCAGCCCCCTGAGCTGCTTTTTTGAAGATCTAGAAATAAATAATTAATTAAATTAAACCAATTTAAGCATTTAAACCCAGAAATGCGCCGCGCGGTGCCCCTGGGTGGCCTGGGTTTGCTGCAGCAGCAGCAGCAGCGCTCCAGCAGCAGCTGCTGCTGCCTGTGAGCTAAAGCTAGACAAACAAAACCCCCACCCTTCAGGCCTTCTTCTAAAGGCCTTTTTAATCATTTATATTTATATTTAAACTCAATTTATATTTAAATTTAAACTCAACTGAGGGCTGAGAAAGGCAAAAGCTTTGCTGCTAACTAATCAGCTGCTGCAGCCGCGGCCAGCAGCCAACTCCCTGGCTGCCCGGGGGGCCCCAGCCAGGGGGCCCCCTGCGGGGGCCCCCTGTGCTGCAGCAGCAGCAGCAGCAAACCCCAGCGCCATGGCGCGAAGCCGAAGCTGCCTACCCCTGGGGGCCCCCCAGGGGCTCCCAGGGGGCCCCGAGGGGTCCTTAGGGGGCCCCCAGGGGCCCCCGGGGGCCCCCAAAAGCCCTCAAAAAGGGCCCCTAGGGCTCACCACAGACCCAAGGGGCCCCCAGTGGTTCTCAGGGGGCCCCAGGGGCCCCCAAGGGGCTCCACAAGGGCCCAGGACAGGCAGGAGCTGGGCGGAGTCTTTAAATCTGAGGAGATCTGCTGCTGCTGCTGCTGCTGCTGCTGCTGCTGCTGCTGTTGTTGCTGCTGCTGCTGCTGCTGCTGCTGCTGCTGAGCCTTTTTGTTATATTGGCCCTGCGCAGTAGAGTTCTGCAGCAAACGCTGGGGCGCGCTGCAGCCCCTGGGGGAGCAGTTGCTTCCACTTCCCAAGACTTCAGCTGCTGCAGGTTTTAGCTAGCTAGCTAGCTAGCTAGCTAGCTAGCTGGCTAACTGGCTGGCTAGCTAGCTAGCTAGCTAGCCAGCTAGCCAAAAGCTGGGCACAGAAAAGCCTGCAGCAGCTCTCTGGGGCTTCTTAGCTTTCTCTGCAGCGCAGCACAAGTGGACCACTGGTCACCCCGGTGGTCAGGGGGGCCCCCTTGGGGGGCCCCCCTGGGGGCCCCCCTGCTGCTGTGCTGCTGTGCTGCTGCGCAGTAGTGCAGAGCTGCTGTGCTGCAGCAGCAGCAGACCCCTAAGCCGTAGAGGCTGCAGCAGCTGAGCAGCCCCCCCTGCAGCAGAGGCCCGCTGCTGCGCTGCAGCAGCAGCGGCTGCTGCAGCAGCTGCAGCAGCCCACCTCATCAGCTTCCTTGCTGCCCCAGGTGGGCTGCTCTAAGGTGACCCCCCCGTGCTGCTGCTGCAGCACCAGCTGCTGCTGCTGCTGCTGCTGCAGCGCGAGCTGGTTTTGATGCTGCTGCAATGCCAGCGGCCGTTGCTGCTGGTGCAGCGCCAGCTGCTGCTGCTTGTGCTGCAGTTGCTGCTGCTGCAGCAGCAGCTGCTGCAATGCCAGCGGCCGTTGCTGCTGGTGCAGCGCCAGCTGCTGCTGCTTCTGCTGCAGTTGCTGCTGCTGCAGCGCGAGCTGCTGTTGCTTCCCCTGCAGTTGCTGCAGTTAACTGCTGCGATTGTCGCAGTTGCTGCTTCTCCCGCAACGCGAGCTGATTTTGCTGCTGCGGCTACGTCAGCTGCTGCTGCTGCTGCTGCTGCTGCAGCAAATCTCTGAAGCTGCTGCTGGCTGTTTTCCCACAAAAGCTAAAATGAGCCTCAGCAGCAAAAGTGCAGCAGTGGGCCTTATTAGCTGCCTACTGCTGCTGTTTGCTTTGCTGCAGCAAAGCAGCAAAGAGCTATCTGAGTTTGCTGCAGCAAAAGGGCATTTGAGTTTGCTGCAGCAAAAGGGCATTTGAGTTTGCTGCAGCAAAGCAGCAAAGAGCTATCTGAGTTTGCTGCAGCAAAAGGGCACTTGAGTTTGCTGCAGCAAAGGGCCATTTGAGTTTGCTGCAGCAAAGCAGCAAAGAGCTATTTGAGTTTGCTGCAGCAAAAAGCCATTTGATTTTGCTGCAGCAAAGCATTTGATTTTGCTGCAGCAAAGCAGCAAATGGTCATTTAACTTTGCTGCAGCAAAGCAGCAAATGGTCATTTAACTTTGCTGCAGCAAAGCAGCAAATGGCTACTTAACTTTGCTGCAGCAAAGCAGCAAATGGTTTTGCTGCAGCAAAGCAGCAACACAAATCTTTTTAAATAAATATCTATTTATGTAAATTTGTCCATTTATAATGCCTCCAAACAAATATATATATAAATAATATATATTTATTTATATATATTTATATATATTTATATATATCTATATATATTTGTATATATTATATATATAACATTTATATTACATATATATGTTATATAAAACATTTTAAATATATTATATATACATAAAGTTATATAAATAATATCTTATATGTAATATATATTATACACATTTTGTAGACTGCAGCAGCAAAATAACTTTTAAGATATTTGTTGAATTATTTATTTATTTACTTTATTTCTTTAGTCAGTTATATATATAATTGTCAGTTAATTAAATTAATTAACTTATTAATTAATTCATTAAGTTGTGAATTTATTTATTTATTCATTTGATAATTAATTAATTTATTTGTGAGCAAATTAATGGATTATTCAATTAACTAACGGATTAATTAATTAATTAATTAATTAATTAATTAATCAATTAATTAATCAATTAATTAATTAATTAATTAATTAAATGAATAATTAGGTAATTAGTTAATTAATCAATTTATATTTTAAAATGCAAAAAGAAAAAAGCTGCACAAGCAGCCCCCAGCGAGAGAGTTTATTGGGCTGCATGCAGCATTTGGTTTTATCTTTTAAATTCATTTTAATTATAATTATTTAATTAAATTTAGAAAATTTAATTTATTTATTCAATTTATATAAATTAAAAAGAAATAAATCCTGAAAAGGCAAATACTGCAGCAGCAGCAAGACCAGTGGTCCACTGCTGAAAGAGCCCCTCGAGCTGCAGCAGCAGCGCAGTGCCCACAGCAGCTGGCCCAAGGCTTCTCTTGCTGCTGCTGCTGCTGCTGCTGCAGCTGCAGCGGCTGCTGCTGCTGCTGCTGCTGCTGCTGCTGCGCTGTTGTCGCTTGCCGCCCGCAGCCGGGAGCTTTTAGACTTTTAAATTAGGATTTTGAATTGGACTTTTAAATTAGACTTTTAATTTATATTTTTTGATTTTATTTTTTGCAACAAAAGAGAGAAATCTGAAACAAACGAAGCAGCTGCTGCCAGCTGCGGCTACCCAGCAGCTGCAGCAGCCCACTGCGTCGTCTGCAGCGCCAGCTGCTGCTGCAGAGCTCAGCTGCGAGATGCAGCTTTTAAACTTTAATTAATTAATTAATTTTGGGAAAATATTGAGAAACATTTGCTGCCTGCTGCTGCAGCTTCGCGCGGTTTGCTGCATGCAGAGCCGCCGCTGCTGCTGCTGCTGCATGCAGCCCCTGCTGCTCGTCAGCGCTTGCTGCTGCAGCAGAAGCCCGCGGCGCTAACTTTCGCAGCAGCAACTGTTCCAGAAAGCTAAAACTTGGTTGAGGGGACAGGTAACAGCCCAAGGCCTGTAATTGCGGCGCTACAGCGGCTGAGAGCAGCGGCAGCAGCAGCTGCTGCTGCTGCAGCGACAGGACGGGCAGCAGCAGACGAGCTGCTGCGCAGCAGATTCGCCTCGCGCTGCAGCAGCAGCAGCAGCAGCGCCCTTTCCGCCTAACAACAAGGCAGGGAGCAACTGGAGCTCCCCCGGAGCATCGCCAGCAGCAGCAGCAGCAGCAGCTGCAGCAGCGACCGCCGCAGCAGCAGCAGCAACAGCAGCAGCAGCACCGCCCTTCCAGCTCGACAGCGCAGCAGCAAAAGGCCCCAGCAAGCCCTGCATGCATGCATGCATGCATGCATGCATGCAGCTGCCCATAGCTCTGTGGCTGCCCCCATGGCGCAGCAGCAGGCGCTGGCTGTTCCCTGCTGCCCGCACCTGACCCGCCACTAGCCGCAGCAGCAGCAGCAGCAGCAGCAGCAGCAGCAGCGGCAGCAGCAGACGAGTCAGCAGCAGCAGCAGCAGCAGCAGAGGACGCCGAAGGCGCAGCCGAGGGAGACCCCAGAGAGAGCTGCGGGGATGAGGCAGCGGGGAGCGGCGCGGCAGCAAAGCCTGCTGCTGCTGCTGCTGCAGCAGCAGCAGCAGCAGCAGCAGCAGGAAATGGGACTTTCGTGCTGCAGTCCGAAACAGAGAGACTCGTGAGAAGCTGGTGGCTGCGGCGGCACTTAGCAGCAAAACTGCAGCAGCGGCAGCTGCTGCTGTCGCTGCTGGGCGAAGTGCAGCAGCGGCGCTACGAGCTGCTTGCTGCTGCAGCAGCAGACCTGCGGGAGGCCGACAGGGAGGAGCAGCAGCACGAGCTGCAGGCCTTCCAGCAGCAGCAGCAGCAGCAGCTGCAGCAGCTCTACCAAGACATGCTGCGCAAGCGCGAGCAGCAGCGGGAAGAAAGAGACAAGGCGCTGCAGCAGCAGCAGGAAGCAGCTTTGCGGCGGCTGCGAGACAAGCGCCGCAGGCCAGGGGACACAGACGAAGCAGCAGCAGCAGCAGCAGCAGCAGCAGCAGCAGCAGCAGGAACAGCAGCAGCAGCAGCAGCTCCAGCTGCGCCCCCGGCCGCAGGCGCAGCGCAGCCACAGCTGAGCAGCAGCGGCCCTGACGTGCCTGCAGCGTCGGCGAGAACAGCAGCAGCAGCAGCAGCAGCAGCAGCAGCAGCAGCAGGATTGGACCCGAAGTTGGCTTCGCCGTCACCCCCGCTGCAGCCATACGCTGTAGAGGAGCTGCAGCAGCAGCAGCAGCAGCAGCAGCAGCAGCAGCAGTCTGCAGAAGGTAGCGACCCGTGTCTGCTGCCGTGGAACGGGGACACGCCTTGCAGCGACGCAGTAGGGCTCGCGCAGCAGCAGCAGCAGCAGCAGCAGCAGCAGCAGCAGCAGCAGCAGGAGCAGCTCTTGGGGAGGGCCCACTTGACCCGCAGCAGCAGCAGAAAAGGCCTGAGGCAGCGCACTAGGGGGGCCCTCTTCTCTTCTGCTTCCGCTCCTGCTGCAGCACTGGGTGGGCTGCTGCAGCAGCCTTGCGATGCAGCAGCAGCAGCAGCAGCAGCAGCAGCAGGGGCCTCGGAAGCAGCAGGCAGCAGCAGCACGAGCAGCAGCAACGTTGCTGCCATTCGCTCCAGCACCCGCTTCACGCGTTCTAGTCTGCGCACAGCAGCACGTGCTGCTCGCAGGGCTTTGCTGCCTGCTGCTGCTGCTGCTGCTGCTGCTGCTTCGGGTGCTGCTGCTGCGGGGTCGCCTCTGGTGCAGGGCTCTGCAGCAGCGGGAGCAGCAGCAGCAGCAGCCACGGAGCAGCAGCGGCAGCAGCAGCAGCAGCAGCAAATCTTGCTGCCAGCAGGGCTCACAGCGTCGCATTTGGCCGCCTTCAATGCGAGTGCTGCTGCTCTGAAGCAGAATGCAGTGCCGTCAGCAGCAGCAGCAGCTGCTGCTGCGGCAACGCAGCAGCAGCAGCAGCAAGCAGCAACAGCAGCTCTGCAGCAGCTTGGACTCACTGCAGGCCACCGCAGAGGTGACGCGGCAGCAGCAGCAGCAGCAGCAGCAGCAGCACAGGCATCAGAGGCCTCGCAGGTTCAGGGCCCCTTATCCTTGGCAGCAGCAGCTGCTGCTGCTGCTGCACCTGCTGCTGCTGCTTCGGGGTCCCTTTTGCTGTCGGGGGGCACCGCAGCGGGCTGGGGCAGCGGGGGAGCAAGCAGCAGCAGCAGCAACACTGGCAGCAGCAGCAGCTCCATCACACCACCTGGAACAGTAAGCAACAATACTGCAGCAGCAGCAGCAGCAGCTGCTGCTGCTGCTGCTCGCAGCCCGCTGATGCAGACGAAGCAGCTGCTCTTGGGGCTGCCCTTGTGGGGCCGCACGGGGGTTGGCGCAGCAGCAGCAGGGGGGTCACCTGCAGCAGCTGGCAGCAGCAGCAGCAGCAGCAGCAGCAGCAGCAGCGTGTCTTTGACCTGCGAAAGCAGCCGGTCTGACCAGCAGCAGGCCTCAGCCACAGGGGCACTTGCAGCAGCAGCTCCAACAGCAGCAGCTTTGTCTCCTGGAGGCAGCAGCAGCAGCAGCAGCAGCAGCAACAGCTCCGCAGCCCAGCAGCAGCAGCAGGCCCCATCGCCATCAAGACCTCCTGCTTACCCCCCACTGCAGCAGCAGCTACTGCAGCACCAGCTGCAGCAGCAACTGCTGCAGCAACACATCCAAAACCAACAGCAAACAAAGAACCAAGGGGCCAGTCAACAGTTGCAGCAGCAGCAGCTGCTTTTGCAGCAGCGGCAGCAGCAACTGCAGCAGCAGGCGTCGCAGCAGCAGCAGCTCATGTTGTTGCAGCAACGTGCTGCTGCCTTACAAGCAGCAGCAACTCAAGGTCAGCAGCAGCAGCAGCAGCAGACGCAGCAGACACAGACGCAAAGCCAGTTGGCTTCGGGACTGCAGCAGCTGTTGGGACAGCCGTCGCAGCAGCAGTACACGCAGCAGCAGCTCCAGCTGCTGCAGCAGATACAACAGCAGCAGCAGCAGCAGCAGCAGCAGCAAGGCCAGCTCCCGGCGGGCATTCACGCTGCATCGGTGCAGCAGCTGCTGCAGGCCAGGCAGCAGCAACTGCTGCAGCAGTTTCAGCTGCACCATTTGCAAGTAAAGGTGCAGCAGCAGCAACAGATGCAGCAACTGCAGCAGCTACAACAACAGCAACAGCAGCTGCAGCAGCAAAATCAGCAGCAGCCGCAGCAGCAACAAACGCAGCAGCAGCAACAGCAGGCGCAGCAACTGCACCAGCTGCAGCAGCTGCAGCAGCTTCAGCAGCTACAGAGCAAGTTGCAGCAGCAGCAGCTGCAGGGCCGTTTGGGAGGATCTGCACAGTTTCCCCCGCAGCTGCTGCAGCAGCGGCTGCTGCAGCAGCAGCTAATGCAACAGCAAGTGCTGCAGCAGAGGCAGCAGCAACTGCAGCAGCAGCTGCAGCAGATGCAACAGCAGCAAGACGGCGCGCAGATAGCTGCTCGACTGGCAGCTCTTAGCAGCGAGGGCAGCAGCAGCAGCGCAGCACTGCAGCAGCTGCAGCGAGCTGCTTCGGCGGGGCACCCTGCAGCAGCAGCAGCTGCTGCTGCACTGCAGCAGCAGCTGGGCACATTTTCTGCTGCGCAGTCCCCTGCAGGCACTATTCTTCGCCCTGCAGCAGCCCCAGCAGTCTCGCAGCTGCTTCCTGCTGCAGCAGGAGCAGCAGCAGCAGCAGCAGCAGGAGGGCTGCTGTGTTCTCCGGGATCTTCGCTGCTGCCGCCTCCCCAGGGGTCGCCGCTGCTGTCGAGTGCTGCTTCTGCTGCTGCTGCTGCTGCTGCTCTGTCTTTGTCGCTGCCGCCGTCAGTTGCTGCTGCTGCTGTTGCTGCTGCTGCATGCGAGGCCCCAGGGGCGCGGGCTGCGGCCAAGTCGACGGCCCAGCCAGCTGCAGCCGCAAACACTGCAGCAGCAGCTGCTGCTGCTGCTGCTCCAGCAGCAGCGGGCTCCCCGGAAGCAGCAGCAGCAGCAGCAGATGCAGCCTCGCTGCACAGAGACTCTTCGGGCTCTAGTGCTGCTGCTGCGCTGCAAGCAGCAGAAGTTCCCAGTGCAGACAAGTCAGGTGTTGCAGAGTCCCTGTGGCAGCAGCAGCAGCAGCAGCAGCAGCAGCAGCAGCCGCGGGACGGAACATCGCAGCAGCAGCAGCAGCGAATTTTGCTCAAGAGCCCAGAGCAGCTCGTGGCTGCTGCTGCAGCGTGGGGTTCCTCTAGGGAAGCTGCTGCAGCGCAACAGCTGGAAGCAGCTCTTCCAGAGGCTGAAGGTGAAGACACAGCAGCAGCAGCTGCTGCTGCTGCTGCTGCAGCTGCTGCTGCGGGAGGCGCAGCGGCTGCAGTCCCTCACGTAGCTGACATTAATGCAGCAGCCAATGTAGAAGCAGCAGCAGCACCGCTGGCAGCAGCAGCAGCAGCACTGGCCAGTGCTGCTGCTGCTGCTGCGCCCACGTCGGGTGCCTGTGCCCCTGGATCCAGCAGCAGCAACTTTCCTGATAGTGCTGAGCAGGCGTGAGGCGCATGCAATGCAGCAGCAGCAGTGCAGCAGCAGCAAAGCAGTGGCAGTGCAGCAGCAGCAGTGCAGCAGCAGTGCAGCAACGCCTTGCTGCAGTAGCGGTGCAGCAGCAGCGCAGCAGCGCCTCGCCGCGCCGCTGCAGCAGCAGTGCAGCAGCAATGCAGCAGCTCACTGCTGCGCTGCTGCAGCAGCTGCAGCTGCTGCAGCAGCAATGCAGCAGCGCGCTACTGCGCTGCTGCAGCTACTGCAGCTGCTGCAGCAGCAATGCAGCAGCGCGCTGCTGCGCTACTGCAACTGCTGCAGCTGCTGCAGCTGCTGCAGCAGCAATGCAGCAGCGCGCTGCTGCGCTACTGCAGGTGCTGCAGCTGCTGCAGCTGCTGCAGCTGCTGCAGCAGCTGCAGCTGCTGCAGCTGCTGCAGCTGCTGCAGCAGCAACTACAGGCAAGGGACACGTGTAGGGCATGTGGAAACGTCAGTGTACAGCCGGGGCCCTTCTTTTATATTTTGCCCTTTTGTGATTTCTTTTCTTTCTTTTATTTTCTTTTTATTTTCTTTTTATTTTATTTCTTTTTATTTTCTTTTTATTCTCTTTTCCGGAAGTCCCGCACTGTCTAGAACCCCCCAGGTGTACAGACACCTCAAGTCTAGACCCCACACGAGCTGCTGCAGAGCTTTATAAAGTTGGGGGCCCCCTTTAGCAGCAGGGGGCCCCCTAGCACTTAGCAGCAGCAGCAGCAGCAGCAGCAGCAGCAGCAAAGAGCGCCGCGAAGGCTAGCCACTAGCTGCTGCAGCAAGCAGCAGCAGCTGCTGCTAGGGAGGCTTGCGGCCCCCGCTGCTGCAGCTGCTGGTTTGGCGCTTGCTGGCGCCTAAGCCTTTAGGTACCGCGCAGCAGCAGCAGCAGCAGCAGCAGCAGCAGCAGCGACAGCAGCAGGAGGCAGCTGCACACAGCTGCAGGGCCGCAGCAGCAGCAAACTCCGTGCAGCTGCAGGTGGCTGCAAGCAGCTGCAGCTAGCTGTAAGTAGCCACAGCTAGCTGCTAAGTAGCTAGCTGTAGCTCTAAGTAGCTAGCTACGGCTAGCTGTAAGTAGCTAGCTACAGCTAGCTGGAGGTAGCTAGCTGCAGCTCGCTGGAAGTAGCTAGCTGCAGCTAGCTGGAAGTAGCTAGCTGCAGCTAGCTGGAAGTAGCTAGCTGCAGCTAGCTGGAAGTAGCTAGCTACATCTAGCTGGAAGTAGCTAGCTGCAGCTAGCTATAAGTGCAGTGGGTGCAGCAAGCCCAAATTAGTTGGCTGTGGGTAGCTGTAACTAGCTAGCTGCAGTAAGTAGCCACAGCTAGCTGCAGCTAGCTATAGGTGGGTGCAGCTAGCTGCAGCTAGCCAGCTGCAGCCGGCCGTAGCCAGCTAGCTGCAGCTAGCTAGCTGCAGCTAGCTGTAGCTAGTCATCTGCAGCTAGCTGTAGCTAGCCAGCTGCAGCTGGCTGTAGCTAGCCAGCTGCAGCTACCTGAAGCTAGCCAGCTGCAGCTAGCTGTGTGCAGCGCTAGCTGGTGCCTAGTCCCACTCGGGCTTGAGGCCTTTAATATAATCTGCAGCTAGCTGTGTGCAGCGCTAGCTGGTGCCTAGTCCCACTCGGGCTTGAGGCCTTTAATATAATCACCATATTGGGAGGGCACTGGGGCCTCTAGTTGAGGCTTTCGCTGCTGCTGCTGCTGCTGCTGCTGCTGCTGCTGCTGCTGCAGCAAAAGCCAGCAGCAGCTCCCTCCCCGGGACCAGCAGCTGACTAGGGGCCCCTCCCGGCTGCCCCTTCCCGGGGGCCCCCATGAGGCCCCAAAAGAGAGTAGCGCGCAGCAGCGAGACGCAGCAGCAGCAGCAGCAGCAGCAGAAGCAGCAGCAGCAGAAGCAGCAGCAGCAGCCCTAGGCCTACCAGCTAGGGGCCCCCACGCCCGAGGGGGGCCCCAGCCAGGGGCCCCCAAGAGGCATGTGAGCGTCCGCGGCCGCAGCAGCAGCAGCAGCAGCAGCAGCAGCAGAAGCTGGGGGGGCGCTCGCGGGCCCGCGGGGTGAAGATAATAAGATAAATCTTTGCTTTATTTGTTAATTTGGTTTAATTTAATTAAAATATACATTTAAATGCGCAAGACGAAGCAATAAAGCTGCGGACGGAGCGCACGGGGCAGCAGCAGCAGCAGCAGCAGCAGCAGCAGCAGCAGCGCGAGGCCACCAGCGTGCATGCGCGCGGTGTACATACACCTGAGGCCTGCAAAGCCCCCACAGAGGCTCAAAGGCTATTTACACTTTTGTTTTTATTTATTTGCTGCACTTAAGAGAGAAATTTCTTCAAAGTACAGCAAATTCGTTTTGCTGCTGCGGGGGAGCGCCGCCGCCCTGCAGGTGTTCCATTTAGGGTGCACATCTAGGGTTTAGGGTTTAGGGTTTAGGGTTTAGGGTTTAGGGCGGGGGCTAGGTTTTGGGCTTGCAGCCAGGGGCTCGCTCTCCCTGGCAGCTGCAGACCCTAGGACTGGCGGAACAGGAGCACAGAGCTGCAGCAGCAGCAGCAGCAGCAGCAGCAGCGGCAGCAGCAGCAGCAGCAGCAGCAGCATGTTCAGCAACGCCTCGCCGTTCGGGGCCTCCAACACAGGCCAGGGCCTCTTCGGGGTGCAGCAGCAGCAGCCTGCTGCTGCAGGGGGCCTCTTTGGTTCTGCTGCTTCCACGCAGCCCGGCAGCAGCAGCTTAGGCACAGGTAAGCAGCTCACGGGGCAGCAGCAGCAGCAGCAGCAGCTGCTGCTGCTGCAGCTGGAGTCCTTGCTGCAGCAGCAGCAGCTGCTGCTGAGGGGGCGGGAGGGCAGTCTGCGGGACTTTGCTGCAGGCCGCAGTCGCTGTCTGCTGCTGCTGCTGCTCAGCAGCAGCAGCAGCAGCAGCAGCAGCGACACAGCCGTTCCTTTTTTTGTTTGCTTAGGCTGCTGCGCAGCTGACGCTGGTTGCTGCTGCTGCTGTGCTGCTGCTGCTGTGCTGCTGCTGCGCCGCAGGACTCTTCGGGCAGCAGCAGCAGCAGCCAAGCAGCGGGGGCCTCTTCGGAAGCTCGCTGGGCACTGGGGGGGGCCTCTTTGGGCAGCAGCAGCAGCAGCAGCAGCAGCCGCAGCAAGCCACCGGGGGCTTCTTTGGTGCTGCAGCAAACACTAACACTGCAGCAGGCTCGGGGGGGGGCCTATTCGGCAGCAGCACGGGCTTTGGGCAGCAGCAGCAGCAGCAGCAGCAGCAGCAAGGCGGCCTCTTCGGCAGCACCAGTGGCTTCGGGCAGCCGCAGCAGCAGCAGACCACTGGTCTCTTTGGCAGCAGCAACAAGTTCGGGCAGCCGCAGCAGCAGCAAACTGGCGGGCTCTTCGGCAGCACAGCAGCACCTGCAGCAGCAACGGGACTCTTTGGCAGCAGCAGCAGCAGCGCCTTCGGGCAGCCGCAGCAGCAGCAGCAGGGGGGCCTCTTCGGCAGCAGCAGCAGCACGGGCTCTACGGGGCTCTTTGGCCAGCCGCAGCAGCAGCAGCAGACCACTGGTCTCTTTGGCAGCAGCAGCAGCACGCCCAGCGGGGGCCTCTTTGGTGTCTCCAGCAGCACAAATGCATGTGGGGCCCCTCTTTTGCTGCTGCTTCTCTTTTCCTTTGCTGCTGCTGCTGCTGGTTTCCTTTGCTGCTGCTGCTGCTGGTTTCCTTTGCTGCTGCTGCTGCTGGTTTCCTTTGCTGCTGCTGCTGCTGTTTTCCTTCGTGCTAGCTGAGGCTGTGCTGCTGCCTTTTCTGGTGCTGGCGCTGCTGCCCCTTCTGCTGCTGCTGCTGCTTATTTGCTGCTGCCGCTGCTGCTGCTTGATTAGCTGCTGCTGCTGCTGCTTTGCCTGCTGCTGGTGCTGGTTGGTTTGCTTCTGGTGCCTGCAGCAGCTGCTGCTGCTTGATTTGCTGCCGCTCCACTTGCTGCTGCTCCACTTGCTGCTGCTTCCCTTGCTGCAGCAACAGCAACAGCAGCAGCAGCAGCAGCAGCAGCAGCAGGGTGTTTGCGCTGTGGGTGCGGCTCAGTGGGCCAGTCTTCGGCGAGTTCGCCGTTCGGGGTGTCTGCGCTGGGGTCGCAGCAGCAGCAGCAGCAGCAGCAGCAGCAGCAGCTGCTGCTGCAGCAGCCCTTCAGGCCCTACAGCGCAGAAGATGGCTCAGTTATGACTATTTGCCACGGGCCTTTTGAAAGAGTTGCATTAGAAGAAATTCGTTGGAATTATTATCAGCAGCAAGGAAAAGGGGGGGCCCCCCAGGGGCCCCTTGCTGCTGCTGCTGCTCCTGCTGCTGCTGCTGCTGCAGGGGGGGGTGGGCGGCCTCTTCGGGGCTGCTGCGGGGGCCCCCGCTGCTGCTGCTGGCTTCGGCTCCGGCGGCCTCTTTGGCAGCAGCAGCAGCCAGCAGCAGCAGCCAGCAGCAGCAGCAGGGGGCCTCTTTGGCAGCAGCACAACAGGTGCTGCTGGCAGCTTTGGGGGCAGCAGCGGGGGCCTCTTTGGTGCTGCAGCAAACCAGCAGCAGCAGCAGCAGCAGGGGGGCCTCTTTGGCAGCAACGCTGCAGCAAACACAAACGCAGGAGGGGGCCTCTTCGGCAGCAGCAACGCAGCAGCAAACTCGGGCGGCGGGCTCTTCGGGAAGCCAGCAGCAGCAGCAGCAGCAACAGGCTTTGGCAGCAGCAGCAGCAACACGGGCTTGGGTTTGTTTGGGACTCCCCAGAGCAGCAGCACGGGCGGGGGCCTCTTCGGCAGCAGCAGCAACACTGCTGCGGGGGGCCTCTTCGGGCAGCAGCAGCAGCCGCAGCAGCAGCAGCAGCAGCAGCAAGGCAGCAGCCTCTTCGGGGGCTTCGGGGTGGGGGGTGCTGCAGCAAACGCAGCACAGCCAAACGCGGGCACGGGCCTCTTTGGCAGCAACCCGCAGCAGCAGCAGCAGCAGCAGCAGCAGCAGCAGGGGGGCCTCCTGGGGGGCAGCTTGTTCGGGGCGAAGCCAGCAGCAGCAGCAACGGGCCCAGGCGCTGCTGCAGCAGGGACCACTGGTCTGTTTGGCAGCAGCAGCAGCAGCACGCTGGGCTCGGGCTGGGGCCTCTTCGGTGCTGCTAGGCCAGCAGCAGCAGCAGCAACGGGGGCCCTGGGGGGCCCCACAAGTGGGGGGGGGGGCCTCTTTGGCTCAGCTTCGGGGCTTGGCAGCAGCAGCACAACTGCAGCAGCAGGGGGCCTCTTCGGGGGCCTCGCGAAGCCAGCAGCAGCAGCAGCAGCAGGGGGCCTCTTTGGCTCTCTGGGGGCCCCCGGCGGCGCAGGCAGCGGGGGCCTCTTCGGCAGCAGCGGGGCGCAGCAGCAGCAGCAGCAGCAGCAGGGAGCGGGGGGCCTCTTCGGGCTGGGCGGCGCGCAGCAGCAGCAGCAGCCGCAGCAGCAGCTGGCCCTCAGCAGCAGCAGCGGGGGGGGGGCCCCCAGCAGCAGCATGCTGGCCCTGGGGGGCCTCTTGGGGGCCCCCCAAGTCACTGTGCAAATTTTGCTGGCAGCAAATAGTGCAGCAGCCCCACAGCTTTCCTGCAGGCCTGTCAGCAGCTTGGAAGACAGTTGCTGCTCGGGGGGCCCCCCTGGGGGCCCCCCGGGGGGCCCCCCGGGGGGCCCCCTGGGGGGCCCCCTCGTGCTGCAGCTGGGGCGGAGGCCCCGGCGGCTGGAGGCTTTGCTGGGAGCAGCAGCAGGGGCCCCCAGCAGCAGCAAGTTGGCTGGGGGCCCAGCAGCAGCAGCAGCAGCAGGTTTGGGAGCCTGCTTCTCGCTGCCGCCGCAGCTCCTGCGGACGCAGCAGCAGCTGCTGCAGCTGCCCGACAGCAGCAGCAGCAGCAGCAGCAGCAGCAGCAGCAGCCGCAACGGCTGGCTGGCCCAGACCATCCACAAGTCGCTTGCTGCAGCGCAGCAGCAGCTGCTGCCGCTGTCTGCGCGCGACTACGAGCTGCTGCAGCGGCTGCAGCAGCAGGAAGCTCCGGCGGCCCCCCAGGCGAAGCGGGCAGCGGCTGACCCCCCACAGCAGCAGCAGCAGCAGCAGCAGCAGCAGCAGGCGTCCGAGGCCGCCCCTCCCGCTTCCCCGGAGCAGCAGCAGCAGCAGCAGCAGCAGCAGCCGCCGGCTGTGCAGGAGCTGCCTTTGCAGGAGGAGGAGCTGCTGGGTCGTGTGGCTGCTGCTGCTGCAGCAGCAGCCACCGAAGCCGCCCGCAGCAGCAGCAGCAGCAGCAGCAGCAGCAGCAGCAGGGCCCCCGCGGAGCTGCTGCCAGTGCTGCAAAGCCCCCTCTATGAGTGCTCGCCTTCTGTTGCTGCGCTGCAGCAAATGAGCCAACAAGAACTCAGCAGAGTCCGCGACTTTTCCATTTCCAGAAAAGGACTTGGCAGCATTTTCTTTCCAGGACACTCCGACCTTCGCGGGATCAACCTGGACCTCGTGGTCCACATCGGCGAGCTCGAGGTCCGCTGCTGCTGCTGCTGCTGCTGCTGCAGCAGCAGCTGCTGCAGCAGCTGCTGCTGCGCAAGTGCAAGTGCAAATGTGCATGCGGAGTTGCAATCAAATTCAAATAATATAATTATAAATAGAATTGTAAATATAAATTGTAAATATAAATATAAATATAAATATAAATATAAATATAAATATAAATATAAATATAAATATAAATGTAAATATAAATGGAAAATATGAATTTGCTTCGGTTTCCGTTTTTTGCATTTTTTGGAAGTGTCTGAAAGCTTGGGTTTTCGAGTTTGCATTAAAACCAATTAATCCATTTAAATGCATTTTTAATTCTTTTTTAATTTCGAGGGGCCTCTTGCTGCTGCCGAGTGTGGGGTAGAGTTTGCTGCCAACTTGCTGCTGCTGCTGCTGCTGCTGCTGCTGCTGCTGCTGCTGCTGCTGCAGGTGAGCGTCTACGCAGACGAGGCGCCTCCTGTGGGCCAGGGACTGAACAAAAGGGCCCGAGTGACTCTTTGCAACTGCAAGCCGAAGCTGCTGCGTGCAGCTGAGAGCAGCAGCAGCAGCAGCAGCAGCAGCAGCAGCAGCAGCGAGGAAGCAACGGAGCAGCAGAAGCAAGAGTTTGTCGAGAAAGTCAAGAAGTACACAGAACAAATGGGGGCCACCTTTTTGTCTCTTGACACAAACACTTGGGAGTGGCGTTTTGAAGTGGAGCATTTCTCAGTTTATAAGTGGGTGGACGAGGAGGATGCTGCTGCTGCTGCTGCTGCTGCAGCAGCAGCAGCAGCAGCGAAAGCGGCGGCAGACGCCGAGCGCGCCGATGCAGCAGAAGCTGCTGATGTTGCTGCTTTTGCTGCTGCTGCTCCCCCGGGGGCCCTGGAGCCGCAGCAGCTCGCGCTGCACCTCCAGAGGGCCCATTTGCTGCGCACGGCGCCTCAGGCGCTGCTTGCTGCTGTTGCTCAGCAGCAGCAGCAGCAGCAGCGGCAGCAGAAGCAGCAGCAGCAGGAGCACAGGCCTGCGCCAGAGCCTTGTGAAGCACAAGACAAGGACAAGCTGCTGCCGCCCCACCCCGCTGCGCAGGAGCTGCAGCAGAAGGATGCAGCGGCTGCTGCTGCAGCCGGTGACGGCAAAGATGCTGCTGCAGCAGCAGCTGCAGCAGCAGCTGCTGCAGCTGCTGCTGCTGCTGCGCCTTCTTCATGGCTCAGACGCTCGCCGTTTCCCGTCCGCTGCGCCCCTGCGTTTGGCCCTGGTGGCCTTTGCGCGCTGCCTGCGTTTAGAGCCCCTCAGGAAGCAGCAGCAGCAGGTGCAGCAGCAGCAGCAGGAGCAGCAGCAGCAGCAAGACAGGCCAGCGGAGCTTACGAAGTGGCTCTGCTGCGGCTGTCTCCTCTGCTGCCCCCGTCGCCGTCCCCCTGTGGTTATGTGTGGCCGCAGCCGTTCGCCAGAGAAGCTGCTGCAGCCATTGCAGCAGCTGCTGCTGCAGACACGGCCCGCAGCAGCAGCAGCAGCAGCAGCAGCAGCAGCAGCACTGCAGCCGCTGGCGCCCTTTGGACTGCGGGCGAAGTGCTGCCGCCCCACACGGCAAGAGCTGCAGACCCTTTGGAGGCAGAGGAGGTTGTAGAGAGAGCAGCAAGAGACTACGTGGCTGCCTGCAGCAGCAGCAGCAGCAGCAGCAGCAGCAGCAGCAGCAGCAGCAGTTGCTGCTGCAAAACCACCAGCTCTTCCTATCTTGCAACGCCAAGGCCCTCCTCGAGGCTTTCGCAGCAACGGGGGAGCTGCGGAGGTTTGCTGCGCTGCTGCACCTGCTGGCCAACGGCCACGTGAGTCAGCAGCAGCAGCAGCAGCAGCAGCAGCAGCAAGGGCAGCAGCAGTCGTCGCTGAATGTTTGTTTCTCTGCCACATGCTGCTGCTGTTGCTGCTGCTGCTGCTGCTGCTGCAGGGGCTGGCATGTGTGCATCTGCTGCTTAAAGGGGGCGCCTTCTACCCGCACTTGGCTCTAACAATTGCTGCCCACATTCAGCAGCCACTTGGGTCTCAAGTGAGCTGCTGCTGCTGCTGCTGCTGCTGCTGCTGCTGCTGCTGGCCGGCCTGCGGCAGCGGTTGCTGCTGCTCCCCGCTTTGTTGCGCACTGAGCTCTCCAGCAGCAGCAGCAGAACCTGTATCTATTTGCGTGCGCGCACTATTGCTGCTGCTGCTGCTGCTGCTGCTGCTGCTGCTGCTGCAGACGCGGGCGTGCTTGCTGCGCGGGCCCTTGTGGGGAAATACGGCAGAGAGCTCAGTGCTGAAGTGCCAGTGCAGCGGCGGCTTTGGGCTTCGCAGCTGCTGCTGCAGCAGCTGGGCCTTCCGCAGTCTTGGCTGCAGCGGGCCCACGGGGACTTGCTGCAGTCTCGCGGGAAGCACTTACAGGCGAGTCCTTGCTGCTGCTGCTGCTGCCTGTGCTGCTGTTGCTGCTGCTGCCTGTGCTGCTGCTGCTGCCTCTGATTCCGCTGCTGCTGCGGCTCCTGTGGCTGCTGTTGCTGTTTGCTTTGCTGCGGTGCTGCGCGCGTCTCCCGCTGCTGCTGCTCGCTGCGGGTGCTGCTGCTGCTGCTGCTGCTGCGGATTGCTGCTATTTGCTGCTGGTTGCTGCTGCTGCGTCTGCTGGGGCTGCGCAGGCAGCATTTATTTACTTAGATGGGTACCGCCGTGCTGCAGCAAACCCAGAGGGCTTTTTGGGGTCTGCTGCTGGCCGCAGCACGTGGGCGGCGCTGCAGCAGCACTTCCCGGTGAAGCTGGAGCAGCAGCAGCTGCTGCTTGCTGCTGCTGAGGCTTTGCTGCGGGCTCTGCCTTCCTTTCTTCACGGGCTGCTGCTGGTGCTGCAGCAGCGGCAGCAGCAAATCCTGCTGCACGGCTGCGCCCACGTCAGCAGACACTGGGTGTCCCGCAGCAGCTTGAGGCAGCCGCTGCTGCAGCAGCAGCAGCAGCAGCAGCAGGACTGGGACGCTGCAGCAGCAGGCGTCTGCAGCAGCTGCTTGAGCCCTGAAGAGCAGATGCAGCTGGTTTCAGATGCACTTGAACTTTGCTGCTCGGAGGCGCTGCAGCAGCAGCAGCAGCAAAAGCTGCGCTGCTGCAGCGCATGCATTCAGTGGATGCTGCAGGCTTTCCAGGTACGTACACCGCAGCCTGTGGGGTGTGCTGCATGCAGCTTTTGCATGCAGCTTTTTCTTTTAAATAAATTTAAAATAGTTTTGAAATAAGTGATATTAAAAATATATATCCGAGCGCATGCAAGAGTTCAAGTTGCAGCTGCTGCTGCGCGCTGCGCTGCTGCAGGTGCCGGCTGCTGCTGGGGAGCAGCACGCAGCGGACAAGGGATCGGGGACGCAGCAGCAGCAGCAGCAGCAGCAGCAGCAGCAGCAGTTGCTGCTGCAGCAGCTTTCTGCGCTGCTGCAGCAATCTGCCAGCAGCACAGACGCCGAGAGGCGGTGTTGGACTTCAATACAGAGTGCCATTGTTGAGGCGCGCGAGCAGCAGTGCTGCTGACGCAGCAGCAGCAGCAGCAGCAGCAGCAGCAGCAGGAGCTGCCGCCGCGGCTCCCAGTACAGACGCGGCTGCTGCTGCTGCTGCAGTTCCTGCTGCTGCGTGTCTTTTCTCTTTTACACCAACCACTTGGCTCACAGTAATTGCAGCAGACACTTTTGTTGCTTCACCGGCAGCAGAAAAGTATTAACCCAAGTTCTAAACAGTTTCCATGGTAGTAAACCTAGCAGCAGCAGCAGCAGCAGCAGCAGCAGCAGCAGCAGCAGCTGCAGCAGCAGCTGCTGCTGCTTCGGACTCCGTCCCGAGCCACGTCAGCTGCAGGCAGTTGCATGCATTCCCGCCGTTGCTGCTGCGGGGCTGAGGTGTCTGTACACTCCGCAGCAGCTGCTGCAGCAGCTGTGGGGCCGGGTTGTCTGTACAGCTCGCAGCAGCTGCTGCAGCAGCTGTGGGGCCGGGGTGTCTGTACACCCGGGGCTCGTGTGGGGCCCCGCTGCTGCTTTGCTTTTAAACAAATTAAGACTTCGAGACTTGTGGGGTCTCAGTCTTCAGCAGCAAAAGAAAGTCTAAAAAAGGAAGCAGCAGCTCAGCCACACAGCAGCAGCAGCAGCTGCCAGGCCCACTGGCCCTGCAGCACAGCAGCAGCAGACACACCACAGCAGCACATTTATTTATTCTAAATCAATTTAAATGGCATTTATTAATTTTTATTTTATTCATTCAAAATTTAATAAACCGCAGCAGCTGCTGCAGCAGCTGTGGGGCCCGGGTTGTCTGTACAGCTCGCAGCAGCTGCTGCAGCAGCTGTGGGGCCGGGGTGTCTGTACACCCGGGGCTCGTGTGGGGCCCCGCTGCTGCTTTGCTTTTAAACAAATTAAGACTTCGAGACTTGTGGGGTCTCAGTCTTCAGCAGCAAAAGAAAGTCTAAAAAAGGAAGCAGCAGCTCAGCCACACAGCAGCAGCAGCAGCTGCCAGGCCCACTGGCCCTGCAGCACAGCAGCAGCAGACACACCACAGCAGCACATTTATTTATTTATTCTAAATCAATTTAAATGGCATTTATTAATTTTTATTTTATTCATTCAAAATTTAATAAAATGCCATTTATTATTTTCTGGAGATTTATTTCTTTATTTCAACAAATATAAATATAAATATAAATGTGAATATAAAATTGATCATATATAAATATAAATGTAAATATAAATATAAATGTAAATATAAATATAAAATTGATCATAAAATAAATGGAAATAGAAAGAAATAAATAAATACTTTCATTCAAAAAAGATCCACTAAAGAAAAACTCATTTTCAGAACTTGCAAATTTGTCCCAAACATGAACTTCAAAAATTCATTTTATTTTTTCCGAATTCGCATTTTTATTCCATTTTACATTTTTAAAAATAAACACCTTCTACATAATACATATGTGCAGTATATATATATATACATATATATGTATATATATACATAAATATACATATATATATATATATATATATACATGTATATATGTGTATTGATACATATATATAATGTATATATACATTTATATGTATGTATATATATAGAGTATATATGTATATATGTGTATATATGTATTATATATGTGTCAGTAAACATGCATTCACATATATATATATATATATATTTATGTATTACTGCAAATGCATGCATGCATGTGCATGCATGTGCATGCATGTGCATGCATGCGCATGCATGCATGTGCATGCATGTGCATGCATGTGCATGCATGTGCATGCATGCACAAATCCCGCAATAAGAGGCGAGGAGTGCATACAAGAAAAGGCGCAAAGGCAAAGGCGCAGCAAAAACTAAAACTGACCGGAGAAAGGAGTTGCTGCTGCTGCTGCTGCTGCAGCAGCAGAAAGCACTTTGGCTTCGCGGCGCAAATGGCGCAGCTGCGCCTCCGAAAGATCTGCTGCTTCGACGCAGCTCAAAGCAGGTTCGAAGCTGCCGTCTTCTTTGCACTCTATTGCTTCGCTCACTCCCAGCAGCACAGCTCCAGGCACGCACGAGAACTGCAGCAGCAGCAGCAGCAGCAGCAGGTGAAGCAGCAGCAGCAGCAGCAGCAGCAGCAGGTGAAGCAGCAGCGGCAACGGCGGAAGCAGTGCAGGAGCAGCAGGAACCGCAGCAGGTGCAGCAGCAGCAGCAAGTGCAGCAGCGGCAACAAGTGCAACAGTGCAGCAAAAGCAAGTGAAGTAGCAGCAGCAGCAGCAAGTGCAGCAGCAGCAGAAATACTTGAAGGAGCAGCAGCAAGTCAAGCAGCAGCAGCAGCAAATCAAACAACAGGAGCAAGTAAAACAGCGCAGCAGCAGCAGCAAGCCGAACAGTGCAGCAGCAGCAGCAAGCCACACAATGCAGCAGCAACAGCAGCCTAAGCAGTGCAGCAGCAGCAGCAGCAGCAGCAGCAGCAGCAGCAGCAGCAGCATTCACCTGAACAACAGCTCCGACGCTGTAGAAGGGCTGCTCGGGCTGCAGCACAGCCAAGTTGTCGTCGGGCCGGACGCAGACGTCGCCGCGCTCCACGTGCTCCTTCTCCTTCAGCTCTGCAGCAGCAGCAGCAGCAGCAGCAGCAGCAGCAGCAGCAGCAGCAGCAGCAGCAGCAGAGGAAGAAGCAAATGAGTTATTGCGCTGCGCATGGTTGAGTGCGATGCGTCTAGCTGCTTCTCGCGAAGAAAAGGGAAAAAGGGCGCAGCAAAGTTCGTTCTCTCTCGCAGCAGCCGCTACCGCTGCTGCTGCTGCTGCTGCTGCTGCTGCTGCTGCTGCTGCTGCTGCTGCTGCACTTGCCTCGCAGTCGCTTCTCCTTCTCCGCCACCACTGTGCCCCACAAAAGCCTTTCTGCAGAAGGAGCATCCAAAGCATTTCCACAAACACTTGCCCCTCCAACTGCTGCCACTTCTGTTTTATTCGAAGGGTCCAGGGGCCCCTCCATCCACTGACACCTGTACGGCGAGGGCCCCAGGTGCGCAGTACCCGGCAGGGGGCCCCCTGGGGGCCCCCCGGGGGCCCCCCCGGGGGCCCCCCCTGGGGCCCCCCCGGGGGCCCCCCCGGGGGGCCCCCCGGGGGCCCCTCCGGGGGGCCCCCCGGGGGGCCCCTGGGGGTGCTTCTTTTGCTGCTCCTGCTGCTGCTGCAGTGCATGCGCATGCATCCAGTCGCAAGTGGACTTCTTTGTGAAATGTTCGCAGCCGCGAATAATGCCTTCGAATCGCTGCGCCACTGCGTCCGCTGATTGGTACCCTGCAGCAGCAGCAGCAGCAGCAGCAGCAGCAGCAGCAGCAAAAGGGCGCAGCAAAGAGGCACGCACCTGCATCAGCTAGCAGCAAATCAAGCAGCAGCGGCGGAACCAGCATCCGCAGCAGCGAACTACACCACCGAGCAGCAACAGCAGCAGCAACAGCCTACAGCAGCGAACAGCAGCAGCAGCAGCAGCAGCAGCAGCAGCAGCAGCAGCAGCAGCAGCAGCAGCAGCGCACCTTCGTTGACGCATGCGTTCTGGGGCACCTGTGTCTCGAACCTGCAGAAGGCGTGTTTGTTGCACTCCTCGGGTGTCTCTACAGCAGTGCAATTAAAGAAACAAACTCCATAAATGAAATCTTGAAAACATTCCGGCTTTTGCATGCAAGCCACGGGGTCTTTAACATTTTCGCATGCATCTGTTTCCAGCTCTGGCAGCATTACCACAGTCGGGGCATTTTGGGGCCCCTCTGCCTCCTGGGGCCCCTTGGGGGGGCCCCCCAGGGGCCCCTCCGGGGGGCCCCCGGGGGGCCCCTCCTTGGGGCCCCCCGGGGGGCCCCCGGAGGGGCCCTCCTTGGGGCCCCCGGGGGGCCCCTCCTTGGGGCCCCCCTCGGGGCCCCCCTGGGGGCCCTCCTTGGGGGCCCCTTTGGGTTCTGTTTGGCTGATTTCGGTTTCTTTTTCTGTTTCTGCTTCGGATTTTGCTTCCTCGCTTTTTGCTGCAGCAGCAGCGGGTTCTTTCTTTGCTGCTGCTGCTGCTGCTGCTGCTTCTTCTGCTTCTTCTGCTTCTTCTCCTTCTTCTTCGTTGCTGCTGTCCTTTAAAGTCACGAAAGAACTTTCCCCGCTGCTGCCCAGCTGGTAGTGCTGCCGAACAGGACTTTCCCGGGGGCCCCCTAGCTGGGGGCCCCCCGGGGCCCCTGGGGCCCCCGGGGCCCCCGGGGCCCCCGCGGGGGGCCCCCCGCTTGGGGGGGCCCCCCCCTGGGGGTGGGCCTCAGCCTTGAGTTCCAGGAAAGACCCCAGGGGGCCCCCCTCTAGGGGACTCAGGAGGTCTTCTGGGTCCACTAGGGGGTGGGGGAGGGGCCCCAGGGGCCCCTGCTGCAGCCTGGCAAAAGGCAGCAAAGTTTGGTTCACAGGCAGCTGCCAGTAGTACCCTCCGGGGGCCCCCAGGGGCCCCCCAGGCTGTTCGCCGAGGCCCGCGGGGTCCAGGCCCGAGAGAACGGCTGCGGGGGGCAGCAGCCCGTGGGCCCTAATAGGACTGCTGCTGCTGCTGCTGCTGCTGCTGCTGCTGCTGCTGCTGGGGGCGCGGCTGGCGCGGCGCGGCGCGCGCGCGGCCGGCGCTTGCTGCTGCTGCTGCTGCTGCTGCTGCTGCTGCTGCTGCTGAGGCAGCTCGGCCATGTAGTCCTCGTCTGCGTCTCTGAGGGCCTCGGGCCGAAGCAGCGCGAGCTTGGCAAGAGAAGGGTACGAAAGAGCAGCAAGGGGGCCCCCCTCGGGGTCAAGAATTGCTGCTAGCTGGGCCTGCTGCTGCGCCTCGTGCTGCTGCTGCTGCAGCGAGGCCCCCGCCGCTTCTGCTGCCAAGTGCTGCAGCACCAGCCGCAGGGCCCCCGAGGCCCTCGAGAGGGCCCCCAGGTCCCGCGCCAGCAGCAGCAAAGCCTCCAAAAAGCTGCTGCCTTTTGCTGGACTTAGTGCAGCAGCAGCATCAATGGGGCCCCACATTTCTTCAATAAACTGGACAAGTTTTTGGGGCTTTTGGGCCCCCCTTTGCATCATTTGCTGCATGCGGCTGCGCTGCTTCCCCACGCGTTTGTGCTGCTGCTTCAGCAGCAGCAGCTCGGCCTTCGCGGCGGCTGCTGCTTGCTGCTGCTGCGCCTCCTCCGCGCCCGTTGCTGCTGCTGCTGCTGCTGCTGCTGCTGCTGCTGCTTGCTGCTCCCGCGCCCGCAGCACCGCCAGCGCTGCGCCCAACCCAGCAGCACGCTGCCGCTCCTTCTCCACTCCTGCAACAAAACTCTCCATTGCTTCCTGCAGCGAAACTCCCAGTCTTTTGTGCTGCTGCCACAGCAGCAGCAAATAAGTACCCACTATGCCCTCTTCTTCCAGGCCCAGCAGCCCCCTCAGCGCCTTCGGGGCCCCCGGCAGCAGCGCCAGCAGTGCTGCGTCTTCGTCTTGGGGGGCCCCCTCGGGGCCCCCCTCGGGGGCCCCCCAGGGGGCCCCCCCGGGGGCCCCCCCGGGGGCCCCCCCGGGGGCCCCCCCGGGGGCCCCCCCGGGGGGCCCCCCGGGGGCCCCCTGGGGGCCCCCTGGCTCGGGGCCCTTCGGGAGGGGCCCCCGCTCCAGCAGCCGCACCAGCTTCCCCAGCTGCAGCGCGGAACTCATCAAGTCCTCTTCTTGAGGATCTGGTGCTGCTGCTGCTGCTGCTGCTGCTTCAGCCCCCAGGGGCCCCAGCCCGAGGTCTTTCAGGTCCCCAGGGCCCAGGGAGGGGGGCCCCCCGCGGGGCCCCCCGGGGGCCCCCCGGGGGCCCCCCTGCGCTTTGGGCGGCGCCGCGGGGGCAGACTCTGTGGGGCCCCCCTTGGGGCCAGGGGGCCCCTCGGGGGCCCCCTCTGGGGGCCCCTCTGGGGGCCCCTTGGGGGCCTCTTCTTGGCTTGACTTTGATGCCTCTTCTGGGGCTGAAGGACCCTCACTGCCTCCCTCGGGGCCCCCGCCAGAGGGGCCCTTTGGGGGCCCCTCTCCTTCTGCTGCTGTGTTGGCTGCTGCAGCTTTAGGGGCCCCCTCCTCCTTGGCATCGCTGCTGCTGCTGCTGCTGCTGCTGCTGCTGTCGCTGCTGCTGGGAGGCGGTTCAGCGACCTCAGAGGAGCCGTCTCTGTCCCCTTCTGCTTCTTGTTTTTCTTCTTCTGCTGCTGCTGCTGCTGCTGCTGCTGCTCCTGCTGCTGCTGCTGCAGCTAAGAACGAGTAGGGGCGCACGGGGCGGCTGGCCTGGGCCACGGAGCTGCCCGAGGGGGCGGCGAAGCTGAGCAGCAGCAGCAGCAGCAGCAGCAGGGGGGCCCCCAAAGAGCGCATGCAGCCCCCAAGCTGGGGGCCCCTGGACTGAGGCTCCATTTGCAAGATCTTTAGGGCCTCCTTGTGCCGTTCTGGGCCCTTTAAAGACTTCGGGGGCCCCCGGGAAGGCCTGGGGACCTAAAAAAGGGTTTAAATGCCTTTTTTAGGATTAAAAAGATATTTTTGAGGCCCAGAAAGAGCCAAAGAGCTGCAGCCCTGCGGCAGCCGCCGCGAGCCTTCCAGTGTACGTACACCTCAAGGCCCTGCTGCGACTCGGCAAGCCCGGGCCCTCAAACTGCATTAAAAGAGACCCTTATGGCTGCATCTCCTTGGAAATAAACCCTAAACCCTAAACCCTAAACCCTAAACCCTAGACCCTAGGCCTTGAGGCTGAGGCGCGAAGCCCGGCTGTCTGGTGGCGCGTCGGCGCCCGCTGCTGCTGCCCACGGCTCTTTCCCTCTTCGGTTTTTCCCTTTTTCGAAAGGCTTTGAGAATTGCAATAAATAAAAAACTCTAAATTGGAGTTTAAAATGAAACAGCAGCAAGAAAGAGAGGCAGCTGCTGCAGCAGGCGGTGACCTCTCGGGCGCCGGGGCCCGCGCCTGGCCCGCAGTCCAGTGGGCAGCAGCAGCTGACCGCTCGCTGCAGCAGCTGTCTGTCTTTCTTTTTGCTGAAATAAACTTAAATGCATTTCCAAATTATATTTGCAACTTTATTTGCTTTTTTAAACGGCCAAAAGAGGCCCCCAGACCCCCGCAGCGCAGCTAGCCTCCCGGCGAGGCAGCGGCGTTCGGGTGTACGTACAGCTGCGGCTGTTTGCCCGCAAGCCTGCACGCGGTGTACGTACACCTGAAGCAAAAACCCACCCTTTTGCCTTTTCTTTTATCTTCATTTTATTTCTTTTGCTTCCAGAAAACTCCAGAAGTCCCCAGAGGCCCTTTTGCCGGCAGTTCGGCGCAGCAGCAGAAGGCTCTAGGGGGCTCGGAGCTCCCAAGACACCCGAGCCCAAGGCTGCAAACAAATAAACAATAAATCAACAAGTTCAGAATAAGTAAATAATTATAAATAATAAATAAAGACCAATAAACATATTTTAAATTCTAATTGCAAATATATCGGGGCCTCGAGGGTTTAGGGTTTACGGGCCAAGACCCGAGCGCCCTCGGCACTCGCTGCCGCTAGACGCAGCGAAAACCCTAAACCCTAAACCCTAAACCCTAAACCCTAAACCCTAGAGCACCTGCAGACTGCCGCAGAGGCAAGGAGAGGGGCGGGCAGCAACAGATGAAGAAAAGGCCTCCAAGAGGCAGAGAGTCCAGTTTGTTAGCTTTTGTGGCTCTCTTGCAGGCAGCAGCAGCAGACTGCTGCTGCTGCTGCTGCTGCCTGCTGGTCTCCGCCCCACAAAGCTCCCTCTAGCTGATGCGCGCTGCGCTGCTGCAGCGCTGCTGCAGCAGCGCAGCAGCAGCGCTGCAGCAGGAAGCTGGGGGCCCCCCTGAGTCTGGGGGGCCCCCCTGTGTCTGGGGGCCCCCCTGCGTCTGGGGGCCCTTTCGTGCCTGGGGGGCCCCCACGGGCCTTAGGGGCCCCCTTGGGTCGGGGGGCCCCCCGCAGGGGCCCCCTCGGTACCCTTTTGCTGCAGCAAGACCTCTTGCTGCAGCAAGACTCTTTTGAAGCTCTAGGGAAAATAAAACTCGAAGCTTTTGCTGCTAAGAAAAAAAGAAACCCCACACTGGCGCTTTGCGGTGTATAGACAGCTCTGCGGTGTACAGACACCTCGGCGCAGCGCGCTGTGGGGTGTCGGGGCCCTCTGGGGTGTACGTACACCTGAGATGCCTGCGGGGCTGCGACGAAAGAACTGACTTTGTTGCTGCAGTTTTTAAGAGCTGCTGCAGCAGCCGGGGGCAGCAGCACCCCACAAAAAGCGCTGCAGCAGCAAGGTGCAGCAGCACCACTCAAAGGAGCTGCTGCAGCAGCCAAGGGCTGCAGCGCCGCACACAAAGGATGGGCAGCGCCAGCGAAGCAGCTGCTGCTGCAGCTGCTGCTGCAGCTGCTGCTGCAGCTGCTGCTGCAGCTGCTGCTGCAGCAGCCCAGGCAGCAGCGCGCTGCAGAAGGGCGCTCCCGCTGCAGTGCAGCAGCAGCAGCAGCTGCCGAGGCAGCAGCGCCCCCTACACGAGCCAAGGCAGGGAGAACTCTGAGGTGTCTGTCTGTACACCCGAGGTGTCTGTACACCCCAACTCAGGTGTCTGTACACCTGAGGTGTCTGTACACCCCAACTCAGGTGTCTGTACACCCCAACTCAGGTGTCTGTACACCCAACTCAGGTGGCTGTACAGCTGAGGTGTCTGTACACCTGAGGTGTCTGTACACCCCAACTCAGGTGTCTGCAGACCTGAGGTGTCTGTACACCCCAGCTGAGGTGTCTGTACACCTGAGGTGTCTGCACAGCTGAGGTGTCTGTACACCCCAGCTCAGGTGTCTGCAGACCTGAGGTGTCTGTACACCCCAACTCAGGTGGGGTGTACAGACACCTCAGGTGTCTGCACAGCTGAGGTGTCTGTACACCCGAGCTCAGGTGTCTGTACAGCTGAGGTGTCTGTACACCCGAGTTCAGGTGTCTGCACAGCTGAGGTGTCTGTACACCCGAGTTCAGGTGTCTGTACACCTGAGGTGTCTGTACACCCGAGCTCAGGTGTCGGGCTTGAGCCGCTCCGCGAGGGCCTCCGCCTCCGCATTTCGGCCCAACTTGTAAAGAGTTTCCACTTTGCTGGTCAGCAGCCGCTGCTCCCTCATGTCCATTACCTGCATAAAACCCTAAACCCTAAACCCTAAACCCTAAACCCTAAACCCTAAACCCTAAACCCTAAACCCTAAACCCCCCCCTAAACCCTAAACCCTAAACCCTAAACCCTAAACCCTAAACCCTAAACCCTAAACCCTAAACCCCAGCCCCGCACTCTCTGCTTCCCGCCGCCCGGCCCTTCTGCCCGCCAGGTGTACAGACACTCCAAACTCCTCTACGCCCCTCTGCTGCCCCCTGGGGGGCCCCCAAACTCCTTCCCTGTGGGGCCCCGGGGCCCCAGGGGCCCCCACAAGACTTAGGGGCCCCCAAGAAGGACTAGGGGCCCCCCAGAAGACTTAGGGGCCCCCCAGAACGCTTAGGGGCCCCCAAAAAGACTTAGGGGCTCCATAAAAAACCCCAGGGGCCCCCTACAAGGCCCCAGGGGCCCCCAGAAGGCCGCAGGGGGCCCCAAAAGACCCTGGGGCCCCATTGAGGGCCCCAGGGGCCCCTGTGGAGGACCCAGGGGCCCCTGTAAAGGCCCTAGGGGCCCCCTTGGGGGCCCCAGGGGCCCCTTTTGCTGCAGGGCCCTCACCTTTTCCCTGTCTTGCCGCAGCAGCTGCAGCTCCTGAACAGCAAGAAGCTTCTTTCTTTCCTCCCTTATCTTTCGAATTTCGCGCCTGCGAAGCAGCAGCAGAAACCCCACAAAGAGGCGCTTCTGAGGTGTACGTACACTCCAGGCTGTGCGTACACCCCGGGGTGCGCGTTGGGGTGTACGTACACCCCGAGGTGTCTGTACACCCCAAAAGAAACATCAATAAATATGTCAATAAAAAAGAAGCAAAAGAAACATCAAATAAAAGAGGAAAAGAAACATCAAATGAAAGAGAAAAAGAAGCAAAAGAAATATCAAATAAAAGAGAAAAAGAAGCAAAAGAAACATCAAATAAAAGAGGAAAAGAAACATCAAATGAAAGAGAAAAAGAAGCAAAAGAAATATCAAATAAAAGAGAAAAAGAAGCAAAAGAAACATCCAATAAAAGAGAAAAAGAAACATCAAATAAGAGAGAAAAAGAAGCAAAAGAAGCATCAAATAAAAGAGAAAAAGAAGCATCAAATAAAAGAGAAAAAGAAGCATCAAATAAAAGAGAAAAAGAAGAAAAGAAAGATGAAATAAAAAGAAAATAAAAAAGAAAATAAAAAAGAAAATGAAAAAGACAAACATGCGCTCGGCCTCGTCGTTGAACTCCGTCTGCTCCTTCCTCAGCGGCGGCGCCTGGGCCTGCGGGAACTCCGACAAATTCAAATTTTAATTTTAATTTTAATTTTAATTTTAATTTTAATTTTAAATTATTTTCAATTTTAATTCTTTTTAAGTCAAAGTGGCCCCAAAAGCAGCAGCAAAACACTAAATAATGCCACAATTCAACAAAGACAGACACAACAAATCCAGCAGCAAATCAAAGCCCCTTAAAACGCCCTTGGGGGCCCCCTAGGGGCCCCCCAGGGGCCCCCCAGGGGCCCTCTGGGGGCCCCCTAGGGGCCCCCTAGGAGGCCCTTTGGGGGCCCCCTGGGGGCCCCCAAGAGGCTCTGTGGGGGCCCCCTAGGGGGCCCCCACAGGCCAATTGGGGGGCCCTTCAACAAATTGGAATAAAAAATTGAAATTGTTTTCAACTTGAAATTGTTTCGATTTTGAAATTGTTTTCAATTTAAAGTTGTTTTAAACAGCAGCAGCAAAAGAGATAATAAAGGCATTTGAAGAAGCAGAAAAAAGAGAAAAAGAAAAACTCAAAAAGAACCAAAAAGGGCCAAAAAGAGTTGTAAAAAGAAAACAAAAAATAAAAAAAAGAAATAAAAAAGACAAAAAGAGTAGTCTTTCGAAAGCCAAAAAAGGGAAAAAAGAATTCCAAAAAGACCCAAAAGGGGTCCGAAAGAAGCGGAATAAAAGGAGGCAAATGGAATTTGAGAAAAGTGGAAAAAACAAAAAAAGAAAAGAAAAAAAAAGAAAAAAAAAGAAAAAAAGAAAAAAAGAAAAAAGTAATTCACCAAACGCATGCGCTCCTCCGCCTCCCACAACTCCAAATTGTAAAACTTTTTGTGCGGCAAAGAGGCCGTGTTGAAGTCCTCTGCGAAGTCGCTGAACAACTTCTTCTCCTCCTACACAAACCCTAAACCCTAAACCCTAAACCCTAAACCCTAAACCCTAAACCCTAAACCCTGAACCCTGGACCCTAAACCCTGAACCCTGGCGCCAGTCGGCAGCCGAGGAACGTCCCGTCGCAGGTGCGCAAAGGCAAACCCTAAACCCTAAACCCTAAACCCTAAACCCTAAACCCTAAACCCTAAACCCTAAACCCTGGGCTTTCAGGGCTGCTTGCCATCTGGTTCTTTCTCCTTTTTCTCCTTTTTGCGCTTTTTGTGCTTTTTGGACTTTTTGCTTTTTTTGCTGCGGCTCTTCTTCGCTTCTGCTGCACTTTTTGCTTTCTTGCGCCTGCGGAGCAGCAGCAGCAGCAGCAGCAGCAGCAGGCTTCAGCAGCAGCAGCGGGAGACCTCAGCAGCAGCAGCAGCAGCGGGAGACCGAAGCAGCAGCAGCAGCAGCGGGAGGCTTTAGCAGCAGCAGCAGCAGGAGGCTTCAGCTGCAGCATCGGCAGCAGCAGGAGGCAGCAGCAGCAGCAGCAGCGGGAGGCAACAGGCGAAGGCTCAGCAGCAAATCGAGCAGCAAATAAGAAAAAGATAATTTAATTTATTATTAATGCAGCAAAAGAGAAAAAATAAAAAATAAAAAAGAAATAAATTCTAATTTTGAATTTAAACTTTGCTGCAGCAAAAGAGAAGCAAAAAGAGGCCCTACCGCCGCCGCTCGTCCTCTGATGAGTCGCTGCTGCTGCTGCTGCTGCTGCTGCTGCTGTCGCTGCTGCTGCTGCTGTGGTGCCGCTTCCGCTTCTTTCTGCTGCCTTGCGGAGCAGCAGCAGCAGCAGCAGCAGAGACCTCCACTACATCCTCCTCTTCTGAGTCACTACGGGAGGGCATTTTCCATAATCTGCAGCTGCAGCGTCTGCTGCTGCTGCTGCTGCTGCTGCTGCTGCTGCTGCTGCTGCTGCAGCTGCTGTTGTTGCTGTTGTTGCTGCTGCTGCTCGTGCTGCTGCTGCTCTCCTTACTCAAGCTGCAGCAGTCCTGCAACAGAAGGAAGATAAGAGGGCCCAGCACGAGCTAAACTGGGCCGTTGCTGCTGCTGCTGCTGCTGCTGCTGCTGCTGCTGCTGCTGGCGATGGTGCTGCAGCTGCTGCTTGTCGAGCAGCAGCAGCAGCAGCAAAGCCGTTTTAAGTTTTTGTTTTTCGATTTGCTGCTGTGTGCCGGGGTGTACAGACAGCTGCTGCTGCCTATCGCATGCAGCCCCGAAAAGGCCCGAGGGGCCCCCAGGCCTCAACCCTGCTGCTGCTGCTGCTGCTGCTGCTGCTGCTGCTGCTGCTGCTGCTGCTGCTGAAGAGGATTCCCTTTTTTGGAATCTTGAGGGTGTACAAAGCCCTCGACTTGCTGCTGTGTGTTCTGGGGTGTACGTACACCCCGCGACCGCAGGCGCAGCTGGCTGGGCCGCTGACGGAAATTAATTTCATTTATTTTTATTTCTTTTTTATTTTAAAACTTTAATTTAAATTTTATTTTTTATTCTTTTTCAAAAGAGCAGCAGCACAACTCCGAGCCGCCGCTGCAGCTGCTGGGCGGCCCCTCGTGATTTATATCTTCACTGCGTGGCCCCAGCAGCAGCAGCAGCAGCTGCTGCTGCTGCTGCTGCTGCTGCTGCTGCTGCTGCTGCTGCTGCTGCTGCTCGCGTGTGTCGCTCTTCCAGGGCCCCGGCCTCTCTTCTGCTGCCTTTCTGCTGCTGCTGCTGCTCTCGCCTTCCCTCGCGCCGCAGCAGCTTCTTCCGCCCCTCTCTTTGCTGCTGCTGCTGCTGCTGCTGCTGCTGCTGCAGCGCGGACACCTGGCTGCAGCATTCTTTTTGCTGCTTCTTTTCAACTTCAAACTAAAAGCTGCTGCTGCTGCTGCACCAATGCGGCTGCTTCTTTCCCTGGAGCCCCAGGGGGCCCCCAAAGCTTTCCCCCGCAGCCTTGGGGGCCCCCAGGGGCCCCTGTACCCTATGGGGGGCCTCGGGGGCCCCCGGGGCCCCGGGGGCCCCCGGGGCCCCCGGGGGCCCCATAGCTTGCTGGGGGGCCCCGGGGGCCCCCGGGGGCCCCATAGCTTGCTGGGGGCCCCCCTGGGGGTGAAAAGTTTTTCGGCTTCTTCTGTAATGAAGGCGGCTTGGGAAGCATTAAAAAGAAGACAAATTGAAAAGTAAGTATTTAATTAATTTAATTAATTTAATTAATTAATTAATTTAATTAATTTAATTAATTTAATTAATTTAATTAGTTTAATTATTTTAATTATTTTAATTAATTTAATTAATTTAATTTAATTAATTTAAATGTGTTTTTTAGTTGTGATTTATTATTCGGATTGTTTAAATGGCTTTTTTGCTTCTTATTTTGGCTGACTCGTTTGGCCGCTGCTGCAGCTGCTGCTGCAGCTGCTGCTGCCGCTGCTGCAGCTGCTGCTGCAGCTGCAGCTGCAGCTGCTGCTGCAGCTGCTGCAGCTGCTGCTGCAGCTGCAGCTGCAGCTGCTGCTGCAGCTGCTGCAGCTGCTGCTGCTGCTGCTGCTGCTTTGGGGTTTTTTTGGCGCTTTTTGGTTTTTTGTGTCCAATTATTTTGCTGTTTGGTTCATTTAAATGGTCTCTTTTAATTAATTTTGTTTATTATTCTTTTTATCTTTTATTTGTTTTTATTTTTATCTTTTTTGTTTTTTATTTCTTTTCTTTTTTCCAGGCTGCTGCCAGCGCTGTCTCTTAACCCCCCGCTGCCCTCTTGTGTGTCTCTGGGCACTCAAGTGCTGCAGCAGCAGCCAGCAGCAGCAGAAGCTCTCCGCAGAGCAGCAGACATCGAGCAGCAGCTCCAGGTTTGCTGCTGCTGCTCTTGCTGCTGCTCCTGCTGCTGCTGCTGCTGCTGCTGCTGCTGCTGCTCCCTCAGCTCCCCTGCTTCTGCTGCTGCGGCAGTGTCAGCGGCCGCCGCCAGAGCGCAGCAGCCGCTGCTGCTGCTGCAGTTGCAGCTGCTGCTGCAGCTGCTGCTGCTGCTGCAGTTGCTGCTGCTGCTGCTGCTGCTTGTGTCTCCAGGCAGCCACTTTGGGCCGCAACATTTCTTCTTTGTCTCCTTCTGAGCTGAAAGGTCTTGACTGGAGTCTCTTAGATGCTGGTGCGTTTTTGCTGCTGCTTTAATTATTTATTTCCTTTTTAACTCCTCTGCTGCTGCTGCTGCTGCTGCTGCTGCAGCACGGGGATTGTTTCTCTTTTGCTGCCTTCTCTGCTGCTGCTTTGAGTGTCTTTGTATGTATTTCCCTGGGGGGATGCAGCAGCAGCAGCAGCAGCAGCAGGTTTTGTTTCTCTATTTTGCTGCTTCCCCTGCAGCAGCAGCAGCAGCGCGAACAGCGACTTTCTCTGCCTCTTAGCTGCTGCTGCTTCTGCTGCTGCTGCTGCTGCTGCTGCTGCAGCAAGGGCTTTGAACCCCGAAGTCTCCGCCGTGGCGAAGTATTTGCTGCAGGTCCCCTCGAAGCGCTTCAGGCCTTTGCTGCTGCTGCTGCTGCACCGCGCGCTGCAGCACTGCGTGCCTGGTAAACCCTAAACCCTAAACCCTAAACCCTAGCTCCCAAACCCCAGGCCTAAACCCCAATCTCCAAACCCTAAACCCTAAACCCTCGGCCCTGAGGGCCGACGGGTGTGTACTGACGCGGCAGCAGCAGTTCAGCAGCAGACAATTAAATAAACAAGACTTGGAAGCAGCAGCAGCAGCTGGTTTCTTGTTTGCTGCTGCAGCACAAGACAGAGACAGCAGCAGCAGCAAAGAAGTGCTGCCACTTATTATGGTCCCCGTTGCAGAGCTCATACACACAGCAACGTAAGTGAGCAGCAGAAACACCGGGGGGCCCCTTGGGGGCCCCTGGGGGCCCCTTGGGGGCCCCTGGGGGCCCCCAGGGGCCCCTAGAAGGTTCTGAGGCCCTTTGGGGGCCCTTGGGGGCCCTAGAAAGCTCAGTGGGCCTCTGGGGGCCTCTGGGGGCCCCCGGAGGCCCCCAGGAGATCCGGAGGGTTCCTGGGGGCCCCTGGGGGCCCCTGGGGGCCCCTGGGGGCCCCTGGGGGCCCCTGGGGGCCCCTGGGGTTCTGACATTTTACTGTTCGGAGGTTTCGCGTCTGTTGTCTTCTTCCCCACTTTTGCTTCGTGGCTCACCCCACGCCGCCGCCGCTGCTGCTGCTGCTGCTGCTGCTGCTGCTGCTGCTGCTGCTGCTGCTGCTGCTGCTGCTGCAGACTGATGCACGACGACGTGCTGGACGAGGCCCCGACGCGGCGCGGGCGGACTTCGGCGCCATTTGCCTTCGGCAGCAAAAAAGCCGTTTTGGGCGGCGACTTCCTTTTGGCCCGCGCGTGAGCCCCGGGTGTACGTACACCCCAACGCCTGCGTGCATGCAACGCGTGCATGCGACGCGTGCATGCAACGCGTGCATGCAACGCATGCATGCGCCTGGTGTACGTACACCCCAACGCCTGCGTGCATGCGACGCGTACATGCGCCTGGTGTACGTACATCCCAACGCCTGCATGCATGCAACGCATGCATGCGGTGCATGCATGCGCCAGGTGTACGTACACCCCAACGCCTGCGTGCATGCGGTGCTTGTTGCATGCGGCGCATGCATGCGTTGGGGTGTACGTACACCGCAGGTGGACGTACACCCCGACGCATGCAGCGCAGAAACGGGCCCATGGCGGCCCGGGTGTACGTACACCCCAAGTGTCTGTACACCCCAAGTGTATGTACACCCCAAGTGTATGTACACCTCAAGTGTATGTACACCCCAAGTGTCTGTACACCCCAAGTGTCTGTACACCCCAAGTGTATGTACACCTCAAGTGTATGTACACCCCAAATGTCTGTACACCCCAAGTGTATGTACACCCCAAGTGTCTGTACACCCCAACAGCCCACCACGTGCATAAACGGGTGTATGGACAGCTGGGGTGTACGTACACCCCAAGACTCACAACGACCAGGGTGTGTCTGCACTGGGGTGTACGTACACCCCAACACAGGCACCTACGCAGCAAAAGCAGGGTGCATGCACACCTGAGGTGTACGTACACCCCAACGCACAAGAGGGCCGGGGTGTACGTGCACCCAAAGGCTTCTGGGGTGTACGTACACCCCAAATGCCAGGCTTGCAGTGTTGGGGCTTTTGCCCAGTTTGTCGCGAAGCTTTATTTTTTTATTTCTTTTGCTCCTGTTATTTCTTTTATTTCTTTTCGTTTTTTGTTTATTTTGTTTCTTTTGGTCCTTTTGTTCCTTTTTTTGGTTTTGTTTCTTTTGCTCATTTTGTTTCTTTTGTCTACTTTGTTTACATTGTTTATTTTATTTATTTTATTTATTTTGTTTATTTTATTTATTTTGTTTATTTTATTTATTTTGTTTATTTTGTTTATTTTGTTTATTTTGTTTATTTTGCTTATTTTGCTTTTAAAAATGTTTTTCATTTATTGTCAGAAAGGCACCGCCGCGCATCTCAGTGCCCTTTTGGGATAGATGCACGCAGTGCTGCTGCTGCAGCGGCTGCTGCTGCTGCTGCTGTAGCTGCAGCAGCAGCTGCTGCTGCTCCTGCCCTGATGCTCTCAGAACCGCCCTTGTTTCTCTGTTGCTTCTGTGCTCTTTTTTTGCCCTTTTTGTTTTTTATCTTTTTTTGTTTCCTTTTCTTTCTTTTTTTTTGCTTCTCCGCCGTTCCTTCTGTTTGTTTCCGCCTTTTCCTTACTGCCCAAACCCTAAACCCTAAACCCTAAACCCTCGTTTCTGCTATGGAAGCGGCTGTGCGCTGCAGTGGTGTGTTAAGCCCTCTGCGGCTGCCCCGTTGCTTTTGCTGCTAGCTGCCTCCCTTCACACGGCGCCCTTGCTGCTGCTGCTGCTGCTGCTGCTGCTGCTGCTGCTGCTGCTGTGCTGCAGCAGCAGCATCGCGGCCACAGCTGGCTACCCAGAGGTTTGCTTCCGCGTCGCCCAGGCAGTGGAAAATCTGGTCACGGGCGAGCTGCTGCAGGCCCTCACAAAGACTTCAGATATAGGTAGGGAGCTAGCTAGCTAGCTAGCTAGCTAGCTAGCTAGTTGTTTAGCTCGCCAGCTAGCTAGCTAGTTGTCTAGCTAGCTAGTTGTCTAGCTAGCTAGCTGACTAGCTGGCTAGCTGACCAGCTGGCTAGCTGACCAGCTGGCTAGCTGACTAGCTGGCTAGCTGACTAGCTAGCTAGCTAGTTGTCTAGTTAGCTAGCTGGCTAGCTGTGCAGCACTTCATCTCTGTTATTTTTTGTTCTCTTTTGTCTCACTATATTTGTCTTTCTGTTTTTGCTGCTGCTGCTGCTGCAGCAAAAGCCTTCGAGGCCCTTTTGGCCAAAAGCTACTGCAAAACGGGGTCCCTCATGGCTGAGACCTGCGCCTGCTTAGCTGTGCTGGGTAAGTAGCAGCAATCTGCTGCTGCTGCTGCTGCTGCTGCTGCTGCTGCTGCTGCTGCAGGCCGTTTCATCTTTTTTCTCGTCTTTTTTGTCTCCCTCTTTCGCGGTTTTTTGTGGCCCATTTGAGGCTCGCTTTTGGCGCTTTCTTTGACTCTCTTTGTGGCTTTTTTTGTCTTTTTTTTCTTTTTTTCTTTTTTATTTCCTTTTTAAATTCTTTTTCTCTTTTATTTTCCCTTTTATCCCCTTTTTCCTCTTCTTGTTTTTATATCCTCCCTTCCCCTTTATGTCTGTTTGCCCCTGTGGCCTCCCAAGAGGCGCTTTGGCCGCAATTGGCGTCGTTTTTGTCGAAACTGATGTCATTTTTCTCGTTTTTTTCTGTTTTTTGGTTCTTTTAATCTCAAAAGGCCATTAAATTGATTAAATTCTTTAAAAATCCTTCAAATTGTTTCAAAAATCTCCGAAATCCGCGCGAAATTGCGCCTTTTTGGCCTCAGGCGGCTACAGCCGCGCCTGGGTCCGCTGGAGCCACGACTTGGGCGCGGCCGTCGGCCTCGCCTTTCAACTGCTGGACGACGAGGCCGACTTGCTGGCCTCTGCGCAAACCCTGGGCAAACCCTCAAACAGCGACTTGCGCAACGTCAGCTGCTGCTGCTGCTGCTGCTGCTGCTGCTGCTGCTGCTGCTGCTTGTTGCAGGGCATTGCGACTGCGCCGTTGCTGCTGGCAGCACAGGAGCACCCGCAGCAGCTGCTGCCGCTGCTGCAGCGGCAGCTAAAGGGCGAAGGAGACCCAGATTTAGCAGCAGCAAAAATAAGAGAAGGCGCAGCTCTTCCCAGGGCCCGCCTGCTGTCTCGGGTGTACATACACCACGTGCTGCAGCTGCTGCAGCAGCTGCCACGCGAGACGCAGCAGCAGCAAAACGCAGCAGCAGATCTCGCTGCTCTCCTGCAGTGGATAACACAAAGATCAAGTAAATGAAGCCCCATTGAGCCATGGGGGCCCCCCACGTGGGGGCCCCTCTTTGGGGGCCCCCAGAGGCCCCCATGAGGGCTTGTGGGGCCTCTTTGGGGCCCCAGTGGGCTTTTTTGGGGCCCCCTCTGGGGCCCCTGAGGGCCCCCGCTGGGGCCTAGGGGGCCCCCGTGGTGTCCTAGGGGCCCCCTGAGGGGGCCTAGGGGCCCCCTGAGGGGGCCTAGGGGCCCCCTGTTGGGGCCTAGGGGCCCCCTGTTGGGGCCTAGGGGGCCCCTGTGGGGGCCTCGGGGGCCCCTGGAGAGGGCTGGGGGCCCCTGGGGGCCCCTGCTAGGTTGGCAGGGCCCCATAGGGTTTACTGAGCTTGGGGGCCCCCGGGGCCCCCATAGGGTTTACCAAGCTTGGGGGCCCCCCTGGGGGCCCCTCTGGGGGCCCCTGAGAAGCCGCTGGGGCCCTGTGCCTTTGCTGCTTCTCCGGGGCCCCTTAAAGTGCCTTTAAAGGCATTTTAAGGGGCCCCCAAGACAATAGAGAAATAAAAGGAGAGTCTCCTTTAAATAGAGGGGCCCCTGAATGTCTTAAGATTTGAAGCGGGATAGAGAGCTGCAAATAAGAGCATTTGCATGTCTAGTAGGGTTTAGGGTTTAGGGTTTAGGGTTTAGGGCTTAGGGTTTAGGACTTAGGGTTTAGGGCTTAGGGTTTAGGGTTTACGGCTTAGGGTTTAGTGCCTAGGGTTTAGCGTTTAGGGCTTAGGGTTTGTGCTGACTGCGAAAGACTCACTTCGGCGGCCCTGCGTGGAGGGCATAGGGTTTAGGGTTTAGGGTTTAGGGTTTAGGGTTTAGGGTTTAGGACCAGTAGGATGAACCCAACTGTGAATAAATGCAAATGTATTTATAGATGTTTTAAATATTGCAAATATGTTAAGGAATGTTTTAAAATAGAATTCCATTTTTGAAAATATTTTTTAATGGAAAAATATATTTTCAAATCTGTCTACAAATCTTCACAAAATACCCAGCTGTATGTCGTTCATGTAGGTATATTTATATTTATATTTATATTTATATTTATATTTATATTTATATTTACACTCATATTTATGTTTACATTTTATATTTATATTTATATTTACATTTATATTTGTATATATTTATATTTATATTTATATTTACATTTTATATTTACATTTATATTTATATTTGCATTTATATTTACTCACTAAGGCAGAGCATCGCACTGCACTTGCATTGGGAAAATGCATTTTTTGAAAGCAATTTGAGAGATAAAATGGAAATAAAAAAAAACCCTTTAAAGCCCTTTTGAGGCCTCTTTGCCGCTTCTTCTTTGGGGGACTTCATTGCGAAAAAAGCTTTCTTTTGCTGCAAGTAATTCTTTCTCATTTGATATATTTGTGTAAATATGTTTTTTATTTGGCCTTTTTTCGGCTTTTTGAACTTTTTTTCTTTTTTTTTTCTTTTTTTTCGCCTTTTTTGTCCCCTTTGGCGCTCTTATTGTCCCTTTTCGTGCTCTCCAAACCCTAAACCCTAAACCCTAAACCCTAAACCCTAAACCCTAAGCCCTTTTTGTGTCTCTTTTTTGTGTAGTTTAAAGCCTCTTTTGGCTAAAAGTGCCTCTTTTCCTTCAAAAAGTGTCTATTTCTGCCGCTTTTGGGTCTTTTTTTCTGCTTTTTCGGACATCTGAGATAAGTCCCAGAAAGCTCTGAAAGCAAACTTGCATGCATTCCTGAAAGCAAACTTGCATGCATCCACTTGAGAGAAAGTTCTCAACTTCTCGCTCAGCAGTGTGCGCTTTAATGACACGCAAGAGGGCCTCTTAAGCCCGTGGGGCCTTCTGGCTCTCCGGGGCCCCGGGGGCCCCTGGGGGCCCCCCAAACTCGCCTCCTCATCACTCGAACCGCTGCTGCTGCTGCTGCTGCTGCTGCTGCTGCTGCTGCCGCTGTCATTTAAACCCTTGGGGGGCCCCCCAACTTCGTCGCCAGCCACCGAAAGGGCCTCAAATGCCTGCAGCAAGGGCCCCTGCTCTGGGGGCCCCTGGGGGCCCCTGGAGGCCCCTGGGGGCCCCTGGAGGCCCCTGGGGGCCCCTGGGGGCCCCTGGGGGCCCCTGGGGGCCCCTGGGGGCCCCTGGGGGCCCCTGGGGCCCCTATCTAAACGTGTCACTGCCGTTCTCAAGTACCTTAAAGCTGTGGAAAATGCCTCATAAGTGAAAGGCAAAAGCTGTGCATCGGAAATGCCACAAACTCATGAGAACTTCTGCGCACGAGGGCCTTCGCCTAATTATGACAGGCGCCTCGGCTCGATTCCGCTGAGAGTAGCTGCTGCAGTCGGAGTACCCCGCAGCAGCAGCAGCAGCAGCAGCAGCAGCAGCAGCAGCAGGAGCTGCGGGGGCCCCGAGCAGCTGGAGCTGCTCGGGAGCAGCAGCCGCTGCTGCAGCAGCGCGGCGTCGGCGTGGTAGTGGCAAGCAAGTCCTCCACAAGATGCCAGCAGCAGATAATAAAGCAGTAGGCTACATCAAAACAACTAGCCAAACAAAAAGCCGCTGCCAGGTAGCTGGCTTGCTGCTGCTGCTGCTGCTGCTGCTGCTGCTGCTGCTGCTGCTGCTGCTGCTGCTGCTGCTGCTGTCGCAAACATGAGCGGTGCACTTGCTGCACTCAACTGCACTTCAAAATAGAGTACGGCCCTCAGCCCCCACCTCCAAAGGCAGCTCCGCCATCCGCCGGCCCAGCTTCGTCAGCTCCCCCTAAGCGCAAAAACCCGCTAGCGGCTTGGCTAGCTGGCTGGCTAGCTGGCTGGCTAGCTGGCTGGCTAGCTGGCTGGCTAGCTGGCTGGCTAGCTG